TTCTACGTGATGCGCCTAGAAAAAATTGGAAGGCTTTGAGGCTAGGCCTGGCTCCCCCTAAGCTTTCTGCCCCCCCCCCCCCAAAAAAAGCTCCCAGCTTGCATGGGGCAGGAACAGGAAAATTTGAGAGCTAGGCCTAGCTAAGCCTCAAAGCCTTCCTATTTAGACCTTTCTGCTAGGGACATCACATTTAGGTGTCTGTTTGTAAGACAGGTAGAAATCCCAGAATGGAAAATAATGGTATGTGGCCAAAAGATCAAAACAATTCCACTCAAAGGTTTAGCACCACTGAGTAAAACATTTTGACAATATGTAGGATGGAGATTTTTAACATTAAAAGAAAAACAATGACCGAGGGCAAATCAGCTGACAAACATCCTGTCTTGTTTGACCCTTTGTTAAAAACAATCTTGTACTCAGAGAGTGCTTATCAATGGCTCCTTCTCAAACTGGGGGGGGGGACAAGTTCGGTCGCAGAAGACCCAGGATTGGACCCAGTGGTCTACATTTTTATTAATGCTTTGGATGAGGGAGTGCAAGGAACACTTATCCAGTCTGAAGACTACACAAAATTGGGTGGAATAGTGAATACCCTGGGAGACAGAAACAAAATTCAGAAATATCATTATGGGCTTGAGCACTGGGCGGAAAACATTAGTATAAAATTTAACAGAGATAAGTGTAAAGTTCTATACTTAAGGAGGGGGGATGCAAAGTTACAAGATAGGGGACACTTGGCTCAGTAACACTACAAGTGACATGAAGTATAGTTTCCAGATCCTGAGAAGTACTATTTCCCCCTTATTTGGCACTGGTTAGGCCTCATCTTAAGAACTGTGCCCAGTTCTGGACACCACATTTTAAGAAGGATGCAGACAATTTGGAACAAGTTCAGAGGGCAACAATATCAGGGGACTTGAAACCAAGCCCTGTGAGGAAAGAGTGAAAGAACTGGGCATGTTTAGGCTTGAGAAAAGAAGACTGAGGGGAGATATGACAGCACTTTTCAAATACTTGAAATGTAGTCATAGAGAGGAGGGAAAGGATATATTCTTGACCAACCCAGAGTGCACGACACATAATAATGTGTGGGTCATCCCACTTTGCACTGGGAGATAGATGGGGAAATCCAGCCCTGTTGGTTCTTCTGGACCTCTCAGTGGTGTTCAGTAGTTTGTATGAGTGGGTTTCATTGCGTTTTTTTTTAATCGTTGGTACCCAGAAGGTTGTTCTTGGGACCATTAGTGCTCCTTTCGACCAATGACCAACAAGATTGTGATTGGCCTCTTCAACATCTATCTGTAACTGCTAGGTGAAAGCTGCTGGGGACTTGGGCTGTGAAGTCATTAGTAAAGGTCAAGGTTCCCCTTGACATTTAATCCAGTCATGTCCGACTCTAGGGCACGGTGCTCATCCTCATTTCCAAGCCATAGAGCCAATGTTCGTCTGTAGACAGTTTCCATGGTCATGTGGCCAGCGCGACTAGACATGGAATGGCATTACCTTTCCACCAAGGTGGTGCCTATTTGTCTACTTCGTTTTTATATGCTTTCGAACTGCTAGGTTGGCCGGAGCTGGGACAAGTGACGGGAGCTCATTCCGTTGCATGGATTCGATCTTACGACTGCTGGTCTTCCAACCTTGCAGCACAGAGGCTTCTGCGGTTTAACCCACAGGGCCGCCACGTCCCCCGAAGTCATTAGTAGGGTGATGCTAATAGCTGTACTTTAAATTTTCATCCGATCCTAGAGAGGTAGTAGAAGTATTAAACTATTGTTTGCTAGATGCAAGGTCTTGGGTAAAATAAAACAATCTAAAACGTATTCTTGACAAAGCAGACGTACTATATGTAGGTGAAGTACCTGGATCTGAAAGAGTAGGTTTGTTGTTCGTAGCGCTCCTGATCTGGTGCTCTTGTTAAATGTCCAGTTGTTGTTGGTTCACCTGTTGTGCGTATCCCCCTAGCTACTGCCACATGAAACTGCTGTAAAATGCTTAATGTGGGGCAGCCCATAAAAATATGTGGAAAATGAGACAGGTAGGTTACTGCTTGGAGCAAATTGTTTTGACCATATCTATTTAAGTGGAATTATATTGGCTACTGTTTTGTTTTCAGACTCAAGTCAGAGTACTATTCCTAGTTCCTTAAAGCCCTGAATGATCTGGGTATCTTAGAGACTGCCTTCTTCCATCTGTTCATCTTGTGCGCTCTAATCATAAGCAGAACACTGGTTCAGATCCTGCAGCTTCATGTGGAGCCACATGTGAGATTTTTGAATTTTCTGGCTACAAATGCCACAGTTCTTTTACCTCCCTCACAGACACCTTGTAGACACTTCAATGTGCTGCACCTAGAAGAAATTGGAAGGCTTTGAGGCTAGGCCTCGCTCCACCTAAGCTTTCTGCTCGGGGGAAAAAAAAGCTCGCAGCTTGCATGGGGCAGGAACAGGAAAATGTGAGAGCTAGGCCTAGCTAAGCCTCAAAGCCTTCCTATTTATACCTTTCTGCTAGGGATATCACATTTAGGTGTCTGTTTGTAAGACAGGTAGAAATCCCACATGGAAAATAATGGTATGTGGCCAAGCGATCAAAACAATTTCACTCTAAGGTTTAGCACCACTGAGTAAAACATTTTGACAAAGATTCTCCTGATCTTGAACTGTAAGATTTGTAGGAAGCGTGTTAGAATAGCTTCATAAAAACGTGTTTGGCTAAACTTTAATGGCACATGAGTGTATTTTTATCTATTATGATTTAAATTCTTTTATAAACTTGTTTTTAGTTGCTTTTTAGGTTTTAAAGAGTACTTTAAACATTGCTAACTTTGCTTGCTGCCTTGAATTTCATTCCAGTGAAATATGTAGGATACAGATTTTAAGAATAAAATAAAATATCAGTTTGCAGTTCTGTCCCTGTCTCTGAATGAATGCTCACAATTATAACCATTAAGAAGAATGTCCTTCAGAGTTAGAGGTAGGCTAAGCACCGTGGAGTTGTGACATTCTGTTTTATGCTTTTGCCACAAGTATATAACTTAATTGGTGTTCCTGTGGTTTTGATCTTGCAAATATTGGATTTGTTGCTTTATGTCTGTTCTACCATACAGTCTCATAGATTAACTAATGCTTGGAAATGTTTTTTCATGACAACTTCGGAATTCCCAGCCAGATTAGCCAATAATTCGGTAGGTGTCTGTTTGTAAGACAGGTAGAAATCCCAGAATGGAAAATAATGGTATGTGGCCAAAAGATCAAAACAATTCCACTCAAAGGTTTAGCACCACTGAGTAAAACATTTTGACAATATGTAGGATGGAGATTTTTAAAATAAAAATAAAATCTCACATTTTTCAGTTCTGTCCCTGTCTCTGAATGAATGCTCACAATTATAACCATTAAGAAGAATGTCCTTCAGAGTTAGAGGTAGGCTAAGCACCGTGGAGCTGTGACATTTTGTTTTATGTTTTTGTTGCAAGTCTGTAACATAAACAGCGTTCCTTTGGTTTTGATCTTGCAAATATTGGATTTGTTGCTTTATGTCTGTTCTGCCGTATGGTCTCCTAGATTAACTAATGCTTCATGACACCTTCAGGATTCCCAGCCAGAATAGCCAATAATTCAGGAAACAGTTATTAAGAAAAAGTCACTTCCCTAAGCTCTGATTCTACAGTTGTAGAAAATTTGAATAAATGTTGGTTCCATTACAATGGAGACATGCTCTAGCTTTGGTTAGTATATCTTTATTGGCTCACATACTGACTGAACAGCAAGAAGGTGAATTCAGAGTGTGCCAAGAAGTGGCGTATGGTGGCACCTAAATGCTAATTGCTGACAGTGCTGTCAAAAAGAGGAAACTCTTCTACTTCTATATGGAAGATGCAGAATCTTGCACAATTCAGAACATATATATATAGGAAATAAATGAAATCTCCAGTGCAACTACTCACATGTTGCCTGTCCTTCCTCTGTACCCTGTTGGAACTGCATAGCCATAATCAATCTGAATAACTCTTTGATTGAGAAACTGCTTTTGTGTCCATTGAATAGTCTACAGTTTTGAAAGCACTGACACTTTTTTGTTGCTTTATTGGTTCAGCTGAGATTCCTCCTTGATGATAAGCAGGTTTTTTTCACAGGACTGTTTTGCTTTACAGGTAGAATTAAGCCTGATTCAAATGAAAGCTGGTGAGGCCTTAGGGACTGTCCTCATCCCAGATAATGTACAAAGGACAGTCTCAGACAAACGGGCCTCGCTCCACTCCAGTGCAAGAGGAAGGAGGGAGTTGGTGACATGCTCGATAGGAGAGTATCTTCACCCAAATGGGAGCCACTGTTGTATGAAATGCCACAAAGGTATGATCAGACTTAATACAGTGTAAGGCATTTTTGTTCCACTTATGGTCCCACATTTTCACTGCTGAAAGTCTTCAAATATATATTGTTCTTTTTTCTTTTTTCTTTAATTTTGTTTTTTACTGCAACTTAAGTTTGGCTTCAGAACAGTAGAAAACTACAGCTTTTCCAGGGGTAGGGAAAGAATATATGAATATTATTGTGACTGGTTGTCCTTACTTAAAGGAGAAAGAAAAATGATCTTTTTGCACGAACAATGCCCTTTCACCATTCATTCCGTGAAAGAGAATCTGACTAAGAAATGAGATAAATATAAACTCTATATGTTGTTGTTTAGATGTTAAGTAGTGTCCGAGTCTTCATGACCCCATGGACCAGAGCACGCCAGGCCCTCCTGTCTTCCACTGCCTCCCGGAGTTGGGTCAAATTCATGTTGGTTGCTTCGCAGACACTATCCAACCATCTCATCCTTTGTCGTCCCCTTCTCCTCTTGCCTTCACACTTTCCCAACATCAGGGTCTTTTCCAGGGAGTCTTCTCTTCTTATGAGATGGCCAAAGTATTGGAGGCTCAGCTTCAGGATCTGTCCTTCCAATGAGCACTCAGGGTTGATTTCCTTAAGAATGGATAGGTTTGTTCTCCTTGCAATCCAGGGGACTCTTAAGAGTTTCCTCCAGGAACACAATTCAAAAGCATCCATTCTTCGGCGGTCAGCTTTCTTTATGATCCAGCTCTCACTTCCATACATCACTACTGGAAAAACCATAGCTTTGACTATGCGGACCTTTGTTGGCAAGGTGATGTCTCTGCTTTTTAAGATGTTGTCTAGGTTTGTCGTCACTGTCCTCCCAAAAAGCAGGGATCTTTTGATATCGTGGCTGCTGTCACCATCTCCAGTGACCATGGAGCCAAGGAAAGTAAAATCTGTCACTGCCTCCATATCTTCCCCTTCTATTTGCCAGGAGGTGATGGACCAGTGGCCATGATCTTAGTTTTTTTGATGTTGAGCTTCAGACCGTTTTTTGCACTCTCCTCTTTCACCCTCATTACAAGGTTCTTTAATTCCTCCTCACTTTCCGACATCAGAGTAGTATCATCTGCATATCTGACGTTCTTGATATTTCTTCTGGCAATCTTAATTCCGGTTTGGGATTCCTCCAGTCCAGCCTTTCGCATGATGTATTCTGCATATAAGTTAAATAAGCATGGAGACAATATACAGCCTTGTTGTACTTTCTCAATTTTGAACCAATCGGTTGTTCCAAATCCAGTTCTGTTGCCTCCCATCCCACATATAGATTTCTCAGGATAAGATAAGTTGGTCAGGCACTCACGTTTCTTGCCATAGTTTGCTGTGGTCCGCAAGTCAAAGGCTTTTGCGTAGAAGTAGATGTTTTTCTGGAACTCTCTGGCTTTCTCCATAATCCAGCACATGTTAGCAATTTGGTCTCTAGTTCCTCTGCCCCTTCAAAATCCAACTTGTATTTCTGGACGTTCTCGGTCCACATACTGCTGAAGCCTGCCTTGTAGGATTTTGAGCATAACCTTGCTAGTATGTGAAATGAGTGCAATTGTACGGTAATCGGAGCATT